GTTCTGAACCGTATTTTATTAACGAGAAATTGTGGGTATTTTATAAAAAGTGCAGTAACAATGCAGCGTCCTTCGATCTTCCATTTTTAACCAACAAGCCCTTCTAATGTAATGGGAAATTCCTTCCTTTCTTCTGACGTCAAATATAAACCTAAGACACACGAGTTCTTTTTAAATAAAATGAGAGTATAGCTAAGCAATTTTGTTAAATGTTGGTTTAACTTTAATGAATGCCTATGCGAATACAACAATTTCAGCATACAAGATGATTGTTGTATTAATTTTGGGATGTGCAACTTAAATCGCAAATTTGGATCCACAATGAGTCCAAGATTCTTATCACTTCCAAGTGGGAGTATTGTACCGTTCATAGATACTGGAGTGAGATTTATTATTGGCATTCCTCCTACTCCCAAATAATATAACTTTGCATTTATTAGAGTTTAAAGTAAGATTATATTTATTAGAATTTACTGACAATTGTTGAAGGTGCAGATTTAGATTATTTACTTCACTTTGAAATTTACTTTTAGGGAATGAGGTATAGATCTGGGTATCATCCGCAAAAATATGGACTTTGGTATATTTTATGTCCTTACATTAAATCGTAAAAAGTAGGGGACCAAGTATAGCACCCTGAGACACTCCCAACTGCATTTGATTGATTATATTTCCCATGCAGACGATCTGTATTCTATTACATAAATAGCTGCGAAAAACTGCAACTGCTTCAGCGTCAAGACCTACGTAACATAAAATTGACACAAGCAGAGACTGATTCACAGTGTGGAATGCCTTTGAATAGTCAAGAAGCGCCAATAATAGACAGTTACCTTGACCGACAGCTTTTAATATATAATCAACAATCGCTTAGAATATTTTTTATTGATCTTTTAAAATCTTTGAGTGTGTGCTGTTTTTTAATTGAGGTTGGGAGGTGGTTGAATAGTTTAATTCCTACAGAATTTGGAGATTGTTTTGAAATTTTTAACCTTGCCATGGGTATACTAAGGTCTCCTAATCATACCCAGTACGAAGTAGCGTAGCGTAGCGGGGGGGACATTAAGTTAAGGTCATATACTTATAGGGCGAAGGATATACCACTAGGTGATGCACTTTCGCAATTGGTTTAAGCAAAGAGCACTTCCATACAAAAGGTACGGAATGAGATTTTAGGCAGTAGCTGATAATATGGGTTATATAAGGAGTTAGAAAAGCGCAGCAATATGTTAACATTATTATACTGATACCGTCAACGCCAGGAGCATTAGATGACAACGTAAATACGAGTAATATTTAAGTGATATCTTCCTCCAAAGCTTCGGAAAAAGCAAAAAAACTATTCGGGTTAAATTTATATACATTGTAATACCATGGTATTGCAAATAAATCTTTATTAAAAGCGGGCGGGCCAATTTTGTTGAAATTGCGATATATGAAAATGGCGGTGCATCTCATCCCGGCGACGTACACCCCGTGACCGTTTTCGCGGCGACAACCCATCCCGGTGACTATTACTTTCTGGGCAATGCACACCTAACGACGTCTGTCCAAGTCCATTTTCTTTTTGTTTTTTTTTGGACATAAATAATGATATACTGTAGAAGGAGTTGTCAAATTAGGTACCGAAAGTCTTGTTTACACAATTGCCAACGGCGCAAAGGACGTATTTTTTTTTGAAAATTGCGTTTTACCATTTACCTACGCAGGTAGATACCAGAAAACTTTACCTAACTATAAACGGCATAATTTCAATTTGATACTATAGTCCCTATTCAGATTGTATTATATCTAGAAAGGAAAAATCACACTCTATACAATAACAAATAAGAAAACTTAATTCCGGTGAATTGTTTCAATATAATAAAGATGAATTTACTTCATATGTTTACCTCGTCTTAAATGTTTTCCATCCCCCGATCTCAGAGTTCAAATTGCTGGGACGACCGAAGCCGGGATTACCCATCGTCGGGTTTAGATGGCAGGGATAACCGAAGCCGGGAAGTAAATGGTCGCCGGGAAATCGGTGCCGGAATGATCACATCAAGCTCTTGGTATATGCAAGAATCATCAATCCCAAGCAGTCCAAGGGGCGTACTCGGAGATGCCCATGAAATCATAATCATTCATATAAAGTAAATTTTTCACATTTTTCACCTTACTCAAGAGAGATCTGCCATTGATATTCCCAAATTGGAAATTCATTGGCTAAAGTAAAAAGGTAGCGTAATCATATTAAATAAATTCGTGATGCAGTTAGATGCAATTAAAGGTTTCACCAATAAACACTTGTTCTAACTAAAAGTAAGGTAAATGCAGACGAAGCCATCCTATACCGATAAAATAATCTACTATAAAATAGTGTAGATATTCAATCTTCCAAAAACCAATAAAAATGGTTTGTTCGACTTTTTATCGTGTACGCTGAATCGTAACTAAGACATGAACATTTTTGGATATTGGTTACTCGAATAGTCCTGAAATTGAGAGTTTTAATAAATTATTGTCACAGGCAGCTTAAAGACGAAAAGCTTTATGTGCTTCCATTGATTGCAAAGCCCTAAAAGCCAAAGGCGTTGGACCTCTCGGATTTCCAGTCTTGACAAAAAGTTGAGCCGGGTGTCAGGATCTTAAGGTCCTTGAGGGGAACAGTCCGAGCTCTCCTAAAATAGAGTGTGACATGTAATTAGGGCGAACGGATTCAACCTCATTGAAATATATCCCAGACTTGTGGTTAAATAAGCTATGCAATTTTTATGTGTTATTGGAAAGCCATATAACTGAACGATTAGTTAGCACGTGAAATTAGTGCAATATGAAGTAACTGAGTTATGCCTATCTAAATAATTCTAGGGTCAGTAAAAAACGTTTGTTATAAAAAGAATAATGTCGATCTTCTAATGATCATTAGCAGTACATTTAACTGTAATCACATTAAAAAACACTCATTCCGGTCGTTTTTTATTAACATAAATCCTACTTCCACTTATTAATACTACTATTATTACTACAACGCCTACTTTAAGATACTTTGAACGTCTTACGATATGCATGTGTAAAACAGCTTAAAGCCGAACAAATGAACAAAGTCGCCGTCGTCCGGTTGGACGATTAATTTTCCAGAAACGATCGTTACAAGGTTTTGACAGTTTTATATGTAGTGTAGTGAGTACGAATGTAGATTGATTTGTTCTTTTTGTTTCGCAGTAAGATGCATCTATTCGTCATAACATTAAACAAACAAAAATTATATTCTGTCATACCCAAATGCCGAATTCATTTAGGCCCCAAATCGAAATCGATCTTATTTAAGATTTATGCAGAAAATACGTCGGCACTTACACATAGAAGTATGTAAAATACGGCGAGATACAAGGCCAATTCATATACGCCTTAGGACAAGCATTAAACCGTCATTTCAGAAACATGTTGATGCATTACAATTACTGTTGCCTTTGGTAACGTTGAAGACATTTTACCGAGCGTTGGCAAATTAATTTCAGTTTTAAGCAAAATGCGTCCTCATTACCACTTCTGGCCAATTCAAAACGATATACTTTCTTACTTCAGCTCATTACATTACATTGTAAAGCAAGCGAAGTACTTCATGTAACTTAAACCCATTTAACCATAACGAACTCGAGTTATCTACCGAAAAGCTACGCCTACCTACTGTTCTTTTTACAAGCAAGAACGCCGCCGATACGTTTTACACTTATTTTGTTTGTATTCTAAATTATCTTTAAAAGTTTAAAAGAAAAATTTCTTATTTGCTCTTGGCTTATAACAACACAGGCTATTGAAAAATGACGGATCAACACCATACTGCGCTATTCAGTCTCTCGGAACGTGGGAAAAATGTTGATCGTATTTCCTAAAGCTATGGAGATGTTTGCTGAGAATGTACATTATTATTATTCCACAATATGGATTATTTCAAGATAAATATAAAGCATACTAACATCACAAGAATTTAAAAAATATATTACAAATATAGATAAAATAGTACACTAAAGGTACAACAAAGCATAAATGCCGGCAGTTATTTTAGACTACATAGATACTTTATCACAGAAAAATTCTATTTGCAGCATCACGCAAATCACTCACCCCAATTGTCAGGACAAGTAGCACCCTCTGTCTTGCACATAGCTACTCTATTCGTGTTACTCAGCAACACTCAAACGTGTTACGTTTAGTAGCTGACGTTTCATAGTCGTGGGAGTGAGAACCCTACTCCTTATACCCCTGTCGAATCTAACCCCTGCAAGACAGTCCGTGTGAGTGTTAGAGGCAGTGCTCACAGAAAAGTGACATCTTTTTATACGCATCGCCCTCGATGTGGGTGAAGGTAAAATAAGTCTATTATCCCTCTCTTGTTTTGGGCCCTCAACAGGCATACGCCCAATTACAGAGTGACCCGCATAATGCTATAAGTGACGGTGACACCTAAAATTAAAAAAAGTTCTGAAGGCCGGAATCAGATTCCGTAAATTTTGAAACAAATCAGAAATACCATTCCGGAACAACAAACTAACAGAACAAATGAATGGAATGGAACCTGAATCTTAAAATGTATTCTTACCCAAAAGAAACGCAAGTAGAAAATCCTGTAATAAAAATTCTAAGGCGACATAAAGCCATTTTGTATACAGCCCGTTCACAGAACGCACGTCCCAAAAAAACAAATTCAAGAGATTTCAAGAAATAAAGAAATGATTACTCACGGTAACTCCCAAACAATATCGAAATTACGTTGGTCTTGTTATATGCATGACATTGCTGAGGAAACGTGCACTTGTACCGTTATTATGAATGATGAGTCTAGTTGCATACAATAAATAAGAATAAGAATTTTTTATTTTTGCTCAAGTACAGCAGCAGAGTAGTTGAATTAACACAAAATAAAATTAACATTAATCAACAATCTGATTGACGAACTAACTAATATATATATATATATATATATATATGCTATACTAGAGAAAAAACTTAGGGCCTCTAAGGCAAGCCTGTGGACACCCTCACGCACTTAAACTAAAAATGAAAACAGTAAGCCTGCGGTCAGAATAAAACCAGACCATTGAACAAAACATAATTTTTTGTATATCACAATATATATACCAAAGTACTAGAATTAAGAATTATTTATAAGTAAGTTACATTTCTAAATATGCCGTATTGTAGAAGTGGATAATTTGGCTTATACACCTAGGTTTACTAGCTACCTACCCCCGTACTTCAATTAAAAATTCAACATCTGGGAACGATAGCAGCCATCGCATTATCCGTGAAAGAAAAACCGGTTTGGATTTCAAACACTTTATGATATTAGGAATTTTATTGAAAATTCTTGGTGCTAAAAAGTGAAATGTTTTAGTAAAATGAGTTAGGTTAGGCTTAGGAACAACAAATTGAGATTTACTACGTAACTTTCTTCGATAATTATGTACATCGATATCGGGTAAATTCCCACTAAATGCATAAAAAAGTTTTAAAACTATGTAAACAAACATTGTTCTTAAGGGTAGGACTTTAAGGCTTAGAAATAGAGGATATGACGGATCTGTTTTTCTCTTATTTAGGGTAATTCTGATGAACTGCTTTTGAAGTTTTATGACAGTGCTTAAATTGGTCTTATAGGTCCCTCCCCAACACGATATTCCATAATCCAATCGACTATGTACTAGAGCAAAATAAAGTAGTCTTAGTATACGCACATTTTCCTTAAAAAATAAAAGATCCTTAGGATACTACTTAATTTGGATTTGAGATACTTTATGTGTAATTTCCAACTTACTTCACAATCCAAAATCAGACCTAAGTATTTCACAGAATTACAGCTTTTAATCTCCACACAGTCTATAGTACAAGTAGAATTTTCACATGAACAGTCTATACACTTATATACTAATGGAGCACTAAAACTGACGGGATCTTTAAGGCTAAAATTTATATAGTTAGTTGTTTCTGGACTCAGGACCATTTTATTCTGCGTAAACCACCACTGCAGTGCCATGAGGTCACTATTGATGGCCCTCTCTATATCTAGGAAGTTATTAGCAATGTAACATAAAGCCGTATCATCCGCAAATGACGTAACTGTGCCTTGCAGGCGGGCATTACAAAGATCGTTTATGTATACTAAGAACAATGTGGGGCCCAGAACTGACCCTTGCGGTACCCCACATTTGATTATACCGATATCACTAAGAACTCCATTTATTTTAACACGCTGTGTTCTATAAGTGAGATAATCACAAAACCACTTCAAAACAACTCCCCTTACTCCACATTTATACAGTATACTTAACAGTATCCCATGGTCGACCGTGTCAAAGGCCTTCTTTATATCTAAAAATAGGCCACTGGCACGTTTCCCCTGGTTAAGACCATCACAAACCATGCCCATAAAGTTAAGCAAGGTTGTTTCAGTATTTACCCCTTCCCTAAAGCCATGTTGGTTCTTACTAAAAAATCCCGTTAAGTCAAAAAATTTTAATAATTTAGATTTCATAATTTTCTCTATAATTTTTGAAAATGTAGACACTAATGAAATGGATCGGTAGTTATTACATTGAGTTTTCGGACCTTTCTTATGTATAGGGATTACCACTGCGGCTTTTAATTTAGAAGGAAAAATCCCTGTTTGAAAACTCAAGTTTATTAAGTGTAACAAAACTTCAGATATTTTAGAAAATATACACTTACCTTAAACATGGACCGTAATTCACCGTGTTGGTTGTATAAGTTTTTATAAGGTAATGTTCCATGGATTTGTGGTATTCTCAAGTTACCGACTAAACTATCAACTACCGTTAAAAAATATTTGTTGAATTCGTTAGTGTGATGTTTGTTACATCCTGTTAATTCAAGCAATCGTGTGGAATCTAAAATAAAAAGACAGTCACTCTTTATTGTCGGCCATTACCGTTCCCGTTCTAAAGCTGAGTCCACACTCTTTGTCTATCTAAAGCTGGGACACTACATTCCTCCCAAGTTCTAATTATGTGATAACATTAAAACATTCAAAATACAACTTAAAATGTTATAACTAATTAACATGTTACTGAACTAAGGACATAAGAGTGTTCGATTAATATTTAGTCACTACATAGTCTTTAAAGTGTCCGGGAGTCTTTGTTTGCCGCTTGGGTCTGTTAGAAAACGATGGTGGGCTTGCTTCGGGGTGTCGAATGTCTTGGGCTTCATGACCTGATGTCGATGGTGTCACGATTGGTGTTGGAGTCCGATTACTTGGGGCTATGGATGGTCTGGTTCTCATTGTTCCGGTTGACATTGAATTTTCACTGGTCTCTTGCTCCTGGATGGTTCCATTTGGTGGCGTCTCATATATTTTTGTAGTTTTTGTTAGGCTTGTGTTTGTGAGAGTGTCTGATTCATTGGGATTGGGTGAAGTGATTAAAGAAGGACTATTAGGGTTTGAAGGATTTGTTCTTGGTATGAATGATTTAAAGAAAGATGAATTTCTGATTATCTTCCTTCCTTCTCTTTCTCCCTCGATTTGAGCACCTGTGATTCTGGTTATTTTCCATGGATAGGGGTCATAATACGGTGTTAGTGAGTTGTGTTTAATTTGTTTACATAGAACTTTATCTCCTAATGTAAAAGTGTGTGGCTTTGTTCTACGTTTTATGTTTGCTTTATTGTTTCGTGTTTCCCTCTTTGTATGTTCAATTGACGGATTGTAGTTTGAGTTTCCGGTTTGTATTATAGATGGTAAGAATGTATTGACTTCTCTGTTGAAAATGAGTTCGTATGGTGATTTCTCTGTTGTTTGATGTGGTGAGCTTCTGTAGTTGATCAAAAATTCTTGCAATTGAGCTTCCATGTCATGTGTTTCCAAGAATGCGCATAGGAGAGACTTTTTGAGTGTTTTGACAAATCTTTCGGCTACTCCATTTGCTTCTGGCCAATACGGTGTTATCGGGTGATGCTTTATGTGCATTGAACTTAAGTAACTTTTCAACTCTTTCCCGTTGAATGGGGGTCCATTATCTGATTTGAGTTTCTGCCGGATTCCAAATATGGCGAAAGTTTTGTCCAAAATTGCTTTCAAATGTTTGAAATTTGTTGATGGAATTATTTCAACAATTGGGAATCGACTATATTCATCTATTAGTAAGAAAGCATATTTACCATTTGGAAATGGTCCTGCGTAGTCAACATCAACGCTTCCAAATGCGTGACTAGCCATTTCAGTTGTCTCAAGTGGATTTCTTTGTTTGAAAGGTGTTACCGCTTGGCAAGCATGGCAGCTTTTGACATATTTGTCAACCATTTCGTTCATGTTGGCAAACCATACTTTAGTGCGTAACAACTGTTTTGTTTTTACAATTCCTAGATGTCCTTTATGTGCCAGTTGTATAACTCTTTCTTGCATGGATGTTGGAATTAAGATTCGATTTTTTCTTAGTACTACTCCTTGGTAAATTGTTAATTCTTCTTTTATAGATTTGTACGGTTTTAGTTGTGGGTTTTCCCATAGTTTGTAGTCGTTATTCTGTAGCGCTTCTTTTAATTTGTTCAAAAGTGCATCTTCTTGGGTTTTTTGCCTAACTTCTTCGACAGTCATTGTTTTCGGCATACTGTTTTGTGCAATGAAGTAGACATATTCTTCTATTTTGTCATTTTTGTTTATCCCTTCGTCTGTGGTAGGATGTCTCGATAAATAATCTGATGGGTTTGATACTCCAGGTTGGTGTACTATTTTGAATTGATAGGGCTGCGTCCTTAGGCACAAACGTTCAATTCTTGCGCTTGGAGATGATTGTGGATTACTTAGAATGCTGAGAAGGGGTTTATGGTCAGTGTGTAGAGTAAATGTTGTTCCATATAGATAGATGTGAAAATGCTGTATTGCCCATGTTGCTGCTAGAGTTTCCTTCTCTATCTGACTATAGCGCTGTTCTACTTGTGTTAACGTCCGACTTGCATAAGCTATTATTTCAGTTTTGTTGTTTGCTTCTTGCGATAATATCGCTCCAAGTCCTATTGGTCCTGCATCTACATAAAGGTGAGTATTTTTGTTAACATCAAAATAGGCTAATTTTTGTGCATTACTTAGTTGCTTCTTTAAAAATTTGAAGGCTTTTTCATGTGCATCGCTCCACTCCCACTTTTTTCTCTTATTTGTTAATTCTCTTAGCACTTGTGTGTTTGTTGCCAAATTAGGTAGAAATTTTCCTACGTAATTTAGAATTCCTAATAAACTACGAACTTCGTGTACATTCGTAGGGGTTTCTAAGTTTACAACGGATTTTATCTTTTCAGGGTCTGGATGTACGCCATCTTTCGAAAATACGTAACCAAAGAATTTTATTTTGTCCTTGTTCAGAACACATTTCCGCAAATTAATAGTTAAATTGTTCGCATTTAGACGTTCTAGTACTATTCGTAATGCTTGATCATGTTTTTCCTTTGATTTTCCATATATCAATATGTCGTCACTGACATTTATAACTCCTTGAATGTTGATAAGGGTCTGACGTATTATATTTTGGAAGATTTCAGCTGCAGAGTTGATTCCGAAGCTTAAACGTTTATATCGGTACAGTCCTGCATGTGTTGAGAAGACTGTGATGTATCTTGAATTTTCGTGAAGTGTTAGTTGGTGATACCCATCTTTTAGGTCAATCTTGGAAAATGTTGTTGCTCCGTTTAGCTCCGATAGTATGTCATCTATAGTTGGTGTTGGATGTCGTTCTCGTTTGATCGCCTTGTTTGCTTCACGCATGTCTACGCACAGCCTGATTTGGTTTGGGTTGCTAGTCCTGGGTATTATTACGATCGGAGATACCCATGGTGTGGGACCTGTTGCCTTTTCAATTATATCTTGTTGTTCCAGACGTTTAAGCTCTGCTTCGACGGCTTTCCTTAAATGTATGGGAATCCTCCTGTGTTTGTGAGCTACGGGTGTTATAGTTTCATCGATGTGTAGCATCACTTTTACATGTTTAAGGTTTCCTATACCTTTGGTTAGGTTTGGGTATTCGCTCAAACTGATTTCCGAGATTGTTTTGTTATTAAGTGAAACGTGTATGAGGTTCAGCTTCACAGATGTCTCATAACTGAGTAATGCTTCTCCATCTCCTTGAACTACATATACATCTGCTTCTGTTTCGCTTTTGTTGTGTACGAATTTACCCTTGAATTTTCCTACAAGTTCAAGTCGCTTCATTGTGTTGTATGGCAGGATGGTTGTATTATCTGGTAACAATTTGTGTATGCCTAAGTTTTTGTAAGTTTCGGCATTGATTAAGTTGATAGAAGATCCCGTGTCAATGATGAAATCAACCGATGTACCATTTAGCTTTACTTGCGTTGTCGGAAGATTGACTTTATTTACCTTTTGTATTGTTGTGATCTGGAATGATGTCTCTGAGTGGTCACTGTTGAACTCTTCTTGGTTTTGGGTTTCATTGAAATTCACTCTTGCTCTTTGAGTGTGTGTTCTTGAGTTTCTCGTGTTGTGTTGTGGTCTTTGGTTTCCTTTTGACATGCAAACTTTTGCGAAATGCCCTATTTTCCCACAAGACCTACAATTAAGCTGGTATGCTGGGCAACTTTGTCTTCCGTTTGTGTGCCAGGTTCCTCCACAGTTCTTACATTTTGATTGTATCTGATGATCTCTGTTTTGATCCGGATTTCTGTTTTTCTGACTCGTGTTGCTTCTGTTTTTATTTTGGTGCATGCGATTGCATTTTTCTATTTGTTTGTGTTCATCTTCGATGGCTGCTAATTGTTTTCTTGTTGCTTCGATTGTTCGACCTCTCGCTAACAAATCGTCTAGACTTGGTTGTTCGGTTAGACCATATTTTCTAAGTTGAGTGTACTTCGTCTTCATGATTATTTGTGATTTTATTTCTTCGTTGGTGTTGGTGAAACTACAGGTTTTTGATAATTTTAACAATCTTGTGTAGAATGTATCAATAACCTCGTTTTCCTCTTGTTTACATTGCCGAAAATTAAATATTTCGAATTCTCTGTTTACTTTAGGGTGAAAATATTTGTTTAGTTTGCGTTTTGCTACAAGGTATGCTGAAGGAGCTGGAGTTTCGGTAGGATTTACGGTTATATCTGGGAGTGTTAGGAATAAATCATGCACTTGCTCACCTGCGTAATGCAACAACATTGCCTTCTGCCTTTCCTCATTATCGATCCCGGCTGCTAACAAATAGTTCTCGAATCTGTTCAACCATTTTTCCCACCGGCTGCCCATGCTGCTTGCATCATCTTGCATGTTAAAAATTGGGACTGGTGCTGTTAGGAACTCCATTATGGATTCTCATCTCACACAGGAAAAACGTATACAAATGTTATTAATTCTCGTCGCCAAAATGTGATGTTTGTTACATCCTGTTAATTCAAGCAATCGTGTGGAATCTAAAATAAAAAGACAGTCACTCTTTATTGTCGGCCATTACCGTTCCCGTTCTAAAGCTGAGTCCACACTCTTTGTCTATCTAAAGCTGGGACACTACAGTTAGCCACGTATTTACAGTCCTTATGTATACTACCTTGTATTTTCAATGCAAACTGTGTGTTTTTATTTTGTTGCCCTGTAATATCCTTAATGATGTTCCAGGTGTTTTTAGAATTTCCCTTGCTGTTGTTAAACAAGTTCATATAATATGCCTCCTTGGCATCCTTTATATCATTGTCCTATTTCGATACCTGATAAAGAATAGCCTAAATTTCTCATCTGAGACACCAGATGTACGTTTAAATCTTTTATACAACTTATTCCTAAAAAGAATCCTCTTACAGAGTGCATCGCTTATCCATGGTTTTAAATGAACTAAAGGATTGCTTATCTTAACTGACACCTGACTTTTATTTATCAAATTTTGGAGGGTATTAAAAAATAGGTCAAACGCTATCGAGGCATTATTATGCTGATAAATAGGACTCCAGTCAACGTTATTGAGCAGACCATCAAGTACGTCATAATCGATACGCTTTCGATAACCAGAATCAGCTGGCCGGCTGGTAGAGGTAAGAGTACGCGCTCCAAGTTCCACCTGGAACGTCACCATCGTCAGCGAGTGATCGGTGATTTGAGCGTGCTCGATCGTAGCACCAAACTTCGTCCTGCTTTTGCATGCGACCTTTGCATACACATGATCAATGCAGGTTGCGGACTGCTGAGTTACTCTTGTCGGCTCGTTTATTAAAGATTCATAGCCGTGTCCAGACAATAATATTTTATAGTCATCTATTATACTCTCACTATCACTAGCCAAGATATTAATGTTTATGTCCCCTATGATAAGTGCATTTTTTGAGTGTTTTAAATTCGCATTTAAACATTTTTCTAACTCTTCCAAAAAAGAAGCAATTGTATATGCGTGTAATCTATAAAGAGCCAAAATACTCAAACTAACGCCACTTACTCTAAGTGATATTAATAATGCATCAGCTGTTAAAAAATTTACAGACGGATCAATATCAAGAGTAGTTACAATTGAATCATGTACGTACAGGACTACACCACCTGCGCGATAATTTGCATTGCTTTTTTGAAAATTTGTATAGCGATTTATTTGGTATAGATTTTTTTCGTCATTATTAATCCAGATTTCTGTTAAAATAATTAATTGAGGCAATGCAACGTATGTAGTGTTAATTAGTACAGCACTCAGCTCACAGACGTACTGACCAATACTCCTATTGGACGAAATCATATTCAAAAATATTAATATCGGTGCGCCTTCAACCGCCGTGATCGATACGGATCGTTTACCATACCCTAAGGCAGGGTTACGTTTGCCACTTCTACTGGGGTTTCTTAATTCAGTTCAGATACAGCACTTTCCATAGAAAGCTTTAACTGCTTTCTTTCTGTTTCTCTTTGGTGTTTTCCCGTTCTTATGTCGCATAATTTAGCAGGAGCACTCGAAGCCGTAACCACTGTATTTCAAGACATAGAAACATGTCAACCGCATGAATAGGTTAAATTCAACAGAGCAGTGTCCAGCTCTATCGTATTCGCTTTCAAAATGTTGCATATCCTGAAACGGACCTCTTCTTTTAAATAAATAAATAATGCTCTCGTGGCAACAACTTCATTTTAGATGTGACCAATAACAATTTATTTCCTTTTATTTTTTGTTAAAAAAGTGTGCGTCGCGCTGTTTGCAAAACTATCTATCAAAAGCTTCTAAACAATTCTGTCTCGAATGCTCTCAAGTTTCTGTAAATTTTTTTCCAAAGAATCGAATCGGATATTTTTGAACCGTATGAGAGATCCTTACACCAATGCATGTTGTGAAACTACTGACGTATCAACCTTTGAATTCAAGAGCTTTTCCCTTTCATGATTCTTGTATAATACCAGCTGTGTAAGCTCTCATATTTCGCAGGAATTGGGACTCTCGTAAAGCTTGTTCTGTACTGTGCAGAATAATAAACGTAAATATTGTTGTTTTGTTTGAGGTTTTCGACTCCGAACGGCTACAAATACATTAAATCGTAAAAAGTAGGGGACCAAGTATGGCACCCTGAGGCACTCCCAACTGCATTTGATTCATTATATTTCCCATACAGACGATGCAACTGCTTCAGCGTCAAGACCTACGTAACATAAAATTGACACAAGCAGAGACTGATTCACAGTGTCGAATGCCTTTGAATAGTCAAAAAGCGCCAATAATAGACAGTTACCTTGACGGACAGATTTTAATATATCATCAACAATCGCTTAGTCTTGTTTACACAATTGCCAACGGTGCAAGGGACGCATTTTTTGAAAATTGCGTTTTACCATTTACCCACGCAGGTAGATATCAAAAAAGGTTACCTAACTATAAATGGCATAATTTGAATTTGATACTATAGTCCCTATTCAGATTGTATTATATCTAGAAAGGAAAAATCACACTCTATACAATAACAAATAAGAAAACTTAATTCCGGTGAATTGTTTCAATATAATAAAGATGAATTTACTTCATATGTTTACCTCGTCTTAAATGTTTTCCATCCCCCCGATCTCAGAGTTCAAATTGCTGGGACGACCGAAGCCGGGATTACCCATCGTCGGGTTTAGATGGCAGGGATAACCGAAGCCGGGAAGTAAATGGTCGCCGGGAAATCGGTGCCGGAATGATCACATCAAGCTCTTGGTATATGCAAGAATCATCAATCCCAAGCAGTCCAAGGGGCGTACTCGGAGATGCCCATGAAATCATAATCAATCATATAAAGTAAATTTTTCACATTTTCCACCTTACTCAAGAGAGATCTGCCATTGATATTCCCAAATTGGAAATTCATTGGCTAAAGTAAAAAGGTAGCGTAATCATATTAAATAAATCGTGATGCAGTTAGATGGAATTAAAGGTTTCACCAATAAACACTTGTTCTAACTAAAGGTAAGGTAAATGCAGACGAAGCCCTCCTATACCGATAAAATAATCTACTATAAAATAGTCGTATTCGCTTTCAAAATGTTGCCTATCCTGAAACGAACCTCTTCTTTTAAATAAATAAATAATGCTCTCGTGGCAACAACTTCATTTTAGATGTGACCAATAACAATTCATTTCCTTTTATTTTTTGTTAAAAAAGTATGCGTCGCGCTGTTTGCAAAACTATCTATCAAAAGCTTCTAAACAATTCTGTCTCGAATGCTCTCAAGTTTCTGTAAATTTTTTTCCAAAGAATCGAATCGGATATTTTTGAACCGTATGAGAGATCCTTACACCAATGCATGTTGTGAAACTACTGACGTATCAACCTTTGAATTCAAGAGCTTTTCCCTTTCATGATTCTTGTATAATACCAGCTGTGTAAGCTCTCATATTTCGCAGGAATTGGGACTCTCGTAAAGCTTGTTCTGTACTGTGCAGAATAATAAACGTAAATATTGTTGTTTTGTTTGAGGTTTTCAACTCCGAACGGCTACAAATCCCATACTATTGTTACAGTATGTCTCGCCTTCCATTGCGATTTAGCAAAAGGTGTATACTCGACGGTTTTAGATAACATAAGGAGTTATTGATTTTGTTAGGTTAATTTACTAAACAAATTGAACCTGTGGTAAGGAAACATCAAAGGCTATTAATTAGTATACGGATTTAAATTTTAACACGGTTTGAAAGCAAACTTCTGTGCATGACACAATTGGTTACAAGCCGCACTAAATTGAAACTGTTACGTACCTTCATACGTTGGCAGCCGTTAACTTCTAGGCTACTTATTAAATTCTGACAATTTTTATTGGTAATTGAACAGTTGCGTTAAGAAAACAGCATGCCTTTTACGTTATTACAATTTAATTAACCATTTTTGCGTTGTGTTTTTAGTTAGCCCACTAAAAGTTTTTAATTCGTTTTAAAGCGAGCTGGTAGCTATACGCTACCTGAATTCGCGACCCCTCACCATTGAGATGTGGAATAATAGTTGTTAATTCATTTCAATGGCCCAACGTTAGCGATGCCATACAGTAATTTATAATGGAACCTCAAGCTAATATCTGTAAGTCAACACCACACAGTGGGTGGTTTGTGGTAAACACAGCAATAATAATAACACGAGTAATTAGCTCCACCTCGATTATTTCGTGAAAACCGAGCCGTACTGTAAATAAATATCGCCGAACTCATTAATGCCGTTAGGTGATTTAGCACGTACATATTTTTTAACAGCACTGCTATTTGTCACCTTCAAATAATCAAGCGTATTTCTTTAGTCCACCAATTACATTATTGGCGGTATAGGCTCCCTTAGGAGGACTACCCAAATAATGCACTACTACGTTAGTTAGGAATGGTATGATCAAATTCTATACGCGGTAGCTTACATATTGATTCCTAGGTACGACCTTAGTGTAAAGTTCTATTCTTACACTATGGTACGACTGAAAGCATTATAGAAAACGTGCTCGCCTTCGGTAGGAAAAATTATATAAAAAGTGTCGGTTCCTGCATTATATAAAGTAGAACCTTTGAAAGTTTTTTGAAATTATTACTTTTCTTTCATACATGAAACGGAATATCTGCATAATTGAGATACCTGAATGCTTAATTAAATGGAATCTTAAACGTTACGTGTCCTTTATCGTGCTTATATTGTAGGTATCAGGAAAGTCTCATGTTGAATATTAATTTGGCACGTTAATGCAATTTTAGCGATTTTAATCGCATGGCAAATTGCGGTATCTCGTTTTCCTGCTCAATCCATACAGCATCATTTGTTTTGTGCCTTAAATTAATCCAGAAAGGTGACTTTAAAATATGCCGCATTATACATTACCTACTACTATCATAGATTAATATCACGTCTTCTCCTGTTCGTGCGACATAATTATTTCCACTAAGCATCTCAAATAGAACAATAATAATTTATACAAGATAGAAACCAAATCATTTTCTATATCTTATGTAACGGATTTTACACAAATTGAATTGAATAATTACAACTTAACGCCTGTGCAGGCACCACAACATCCCTCTGGTTAATATCAAAATTCCCTCTAAAAGGTCGCAGAAGTGGGTTCACTGTCTGCGTGTAGACAAATATTTTTTCATAGTTTCTATACAATTATGACTCTGAATCTTTGCTGAACCGACTGAACTCAAAAATCGAATCATTTTCATTTAAGTGTTCAAATTGTTAATACTGTAACGTAAATTTAATTACGTTGCTTATTTATTTACAATTAATAAATTTATAATTACAATATCTATCATTCGCAATTAATAACACAACAAGAACGCATCAATGTTGGAACTCCCCGAATCATCACTCGTTTCGCTTATATAGCAAACCCCCTCTTTCTCGAGCGCTTGCTTTCTATCGGGATTTCTAGAATATTCACATTTTGTCCCCGATTCAACAGCACCTGTTCCTACAATCTGAAACAACCCCTGATGAAGTCGATAGAGCAAACTAATCGTTAATATTGACTTTTAGCAACAATTAGATTAATTTGGGCTGTGCGTCACCCACCCCACTGTAAAATACCATTCGCTCACAAGATATTTACATAATTACGTGCATATATGCATAAATAAGTAATATTCAGAATGCGTTGGCGGATTTTCTTCAAATTTGGTACAGTGGCAATTATTATAAGATATGACTCGATTTCATCCTAGGTCAAAGGTTAAGGAAATAAGTTGCCCAAAACCGTTATTAATTTAGGACGTTAACATCAATTTGTCCTTTTATAAACGAATAATTGTCATAGAATAATTTCATATGCGTCACAGAAGGATAAGATCCATGTAACGGGCTAGTTACACGTACTAGGGTTGAAGACCCCATTTGCTTAAACCTCAATATCAAAGTTACTTTAGGCAAATTCCTAAAATTAACCGACCACTAATTCATACAATACAAAAATTCAAAACAACTTACAGTAACTGAAGTGGATCAGATTCTTTTCAGGTTACAATTGGTCATCTCCCCGGAAAATGCTGCTCACTTTAAGAAATATGGAAATATACCACCGCTAGCTCTTGATAGCACCCTGGTAACGCCAACTTCGTGGTAAATACCAAGCAAAAAATGGCCATACGTACCGGAAAACTACAATACAATGTTGATATGCAACGTAGAATAACCACCTTTTGCGCACTAAAAGATTACGTGCTTTCTCTTTTAAACTTCAACCTCATCTGATTGTCCCCGCACAGACGGTGTAACCAATGCTTATCTCAAGTTGCAGACCTTTTATTAAAAATATACGCGTTGTTATCGCCTTTTATTTTCACATGTAATTTTGTTTCTGTTCGCTATAAAGCGGTATACGTGTAAATCTTCCTATGCTTAGTTAGCATAGTTGCTTTAGAATAAAATGTTGATACAATGAATTAAACAATAGTCATTTTGGACGCAAAAGATGGCAAAACTTAGAGAGTAAAACCAGAAAAGGCAATTGGAACTTATCAACGGATAATATGAGTTTTACACGTGCAAGTAAAAGGTGTTGGTTCTTATGGAGAAAATTGAGTAATAATAATCAATGGACAACATAGATTTAAATATCAGAACCATTAGTTAATACGTTTTTAAAGCAAGGAAACCATCTTAAAAATGAAAAATGCTTAAAAGCATAGAAAAGCTGAAAATCCGTTCGGTGGTTTTCTTATTCTGTAGGATAGTTATGGTTGAGTTCTTTTTCCACAACTTTAATCCAAGAGGAATTTGTTTAGGTCTATGCGATGACTGTCGGTTTCTATTTGGCACACCGCGCCTATTAATTTGTTATAAATTAAGACATTGTTCATTTTTTATTTATGCACCACATCACTTATTCAAATTAATTTTGACGTATGCTCACCCTCGGTATAAATTACCATTCTGTATAGGTAAGCTGTGATTGTAAACTAATGAAACATCTTAATGATGATAAGAAACGTAATTTATTCTAACTAGCCGAGGATATATTTACCGCTAAATCATTGTTCTCAAATGGAAATCTTAATTTTACATGCACATTGTAGGCTATTCGAGTAAAATATTGCCCATTCCAATTAACATAGTACAATTTGTCTTACGCCTTGTATTCACGCACCTCTAGAAGCTTGAATATCAATGTTTTACTTGCTGTTGCGATATTTCATTTTTACAAATAGGTTCCTGTTCTTGAAAACTATGGCTTTGAAGTAAAGGCTGTAACGTTCCAAAATTTCGTCCACGTCTCTGTATATATAATGTGTTGTTTTGCTCGTAATTGTTAGTTCCTTGTCGGCGTGTAAGCGATAGTAATGATAGTAAAGAATGGGTAAAGCGATAGGAGGCTTTTCCGAGCGCATTCCTTGACAAATTATGTTTTGAGTGCACGTAGGTATTGCAAATTTACTTAGTACTAGGGAATGCAATACCGGGATTGCGGGATCCCGAAATACCGGGATCCCGCAGCATTTTTGCGAGATTAATCCCGCACATAAATGGAGCGGGATCCCGCGGGATTTGCGGGACAGAGGCATTTGTCGACCAAGGGGACGACTCTGTTTGAGTTCTAAGTTAGGCCGAAGGTACTTTTTTGTTAGATATTGTGATAATTAGCGATTTATTTTAATACAGAAGTTAACCGCACAGAATTGCTTATTTGCCAATTTGTTTAAAGTTTTGCGAGATCCCGCAAATACCGGGATCCCGCGGGATTAACATCTAACAATCCCGCAAATACCGAGATTGAGATTTTGCTGCGGGATTGCATTCCCTACTAGAAACCAATATCGAAAGAAAATTCAAAGGGCTGTAACTTTTGAATTAGTAGCCCAATCTTGGAACTGTTTGAAATTATGGATTCTACAGGCTACATTCTAAGAGAAACATTTTTTTTTTCGGGGTCGATCTGAGACTTTTTTTTGAGGGCCTCAAAAAAAGGCAGTGTATAACCTTCCTTTTTTACCAAAAATCGACTGCACCAAACTTTCTCGAGAAAACACTTTTTCTTATTAATTTTGGTGCGTAGAATCCAAAACAATTCGGACTTTTTCGATCAGACGTCTCAATAAAAAGTTATAGACTAGAAAAGAAACCAATTTCGAAAGAAAATTCAAAGGGCTGTAACTTTTGAACTAGTAGCCCAATCTTGGAACTGTTTGAAATTATGGATTCTACAGGCCACATTCTATAAGAACATTTTTTTCCGGGTCGATCTGAGACCATTTTTTTTCGGGGCTCAAAAAAAGGCAGTGTATAACCTTCCTTTTTTACCAAAAATCGACTGCACCAAAATTTCTCGGGAAAACACTTTTTCTTAATAATTTTGGTGCGTAGAATCCAAAACAATTCGTACTTTTTCGATCAGACTTCTCAATCAAAAGTTATAGACTAGAAACTAGGGAATGCAATACCGGGATTACGGGATCTCGAAATACCGGGATCCCGCAGCATTTTTGCGAGATTAATCCCGCACATAAATCGAGGGATTTGCGGGACTGAGGAATTTGTCGACCAAGGGGACGACTCTGTTTACTTTGTTAATGAAACTGATAACGGCGAATTATTTTTTAAATAATTGTTAAACTTTTTTCGTTAAAAATGTACTATGATTTTTGAGGCACTTTAGAAGACTTTTGTGCTTTACAGGTAAGGTTTTTTTGAGTTCTAAGTTAGGCCGAAGGTACTTTTTTGTTAAATATTGTGATAATTAGCGATTTATTTTAATACAGAAGTTAACCGCACAGAATTGCTTATTTGCCAATTTTAAAGTTTTGCGAGATCCCTCAAATACCGGGATTGAGATTTTGCTGCGGGATTGCATTCCCTACTTAGTACCAAATTGAACTAATTATTAGTTTTTGTGCCGTTCAGAAACAGTAAGTTCTTATTTCATTATTCAATAATGAAACCCTTTAATTTTTAGAAGTTACGAGCCGATTCCCTGAAAATTACGTTTCGAGTACGCATTACAGATTTACCTCGTACTAAGTTGAACTACGTATTAGTTTTTTGAGCCACTGAGAAACAAAATTACGAGCCACGTTAATTGGTCTACAGTTTTGGGGATTACCTTCGAGCTCAGGCCGACA